CAGTTGCCACAGGTATGATTACTACTCAGCCTGCTGGCCCAGGAAAGGAGTTGCAGAAATCTCTTGAGAACTCTTCCATATAAAGGTCAGTTACCTTATTTTTAGATTTTTGTCTGGGAAAATGAGTATTTTACACCTTCAACAGGCACATTAAATAGAAATGCTACACATGCAGTTTCAACACATAAGTAAGTGCTGAAACAGCTGGAAACAGCTGTTTGACACTAGTGTACCAAGCTTTCCTTTAGAAAGGGCTGGGGCCCTGTGCTGTACCACTATGATGATACAGTTCAACACCATAGAGGGTTCAAAAAAACCCACCAACATCCAGAGCCAAAAGGAAGCCAGGAAGCCTACAAGTTGGTACCAACTGTTTGGAAATGTACACAGAGCCAGCTTGGTTTATTTTTTAACTTCCCATGCTTTGTATGATCAAGGTTTCAAGTGAAATTGGCCAAACTGGACAAGTCACAATGGACCAACTGTATCAGCTGTCAACAACTGGAGGGGCAGAAGAGGAAACAGAAGCAGGGCAAGAGGGAACATTAACTTTTTGCTGCTAAAGGGTCAGCACAACAAAATAAAGTTTTGTATTATTCTCTAAGGACAAATGAGTCACATTGTTACAAAAATAATCCATTGCTTATAAACAATACTGCACACTATGCATTCATCTCTGACCTCAAGGCAAAAACCTCACACCAACCCTTTATTACTCATATTGTTCTGCCTCTCTTAAGAGAGAGCCTGATTCTCTTTCGTTTACCAGTCTCTATGCCTTGATGGAAATCTTAGCATTTCATTGAGGATTCATGATTGCAACAGAGGTGAAGACTAACATCATAACAACATGGGACCAGGATTTGAGACAGTTCCCTTATATGTATCAACAGATACTCTGAAAGACACTCTTGAGGCACTTTGCTACTTCGTGTATTTCTGTATGTTAGGTAGAGCCCCCACCTCTACAGCAAAACCCCAGCTTTTAAAAGGATTTCTGTTAGAAGGTCCATTTTCAGCTTTCCTGCTAAATTTCACAGTGCTATACCCAGACAAAACTTACCAGTTACAGAACTCAGTCCTGCAACACCCTGAATGTTTTGTCCTTACCTAGCAAAGCATTAAAACATACAGAGAACATACATGAGAACAGCCCCACCCAACCAGTGGAACCACGCAGACTTTTTGGTAGGTGTGCAGGAGCTCCACTTCAGAGTATACAGCTTCAAAAGGCTCCTTCTTTTATTTAACTGTAAACCAAGAATCTTTCTTCCATTTTAGGCTTGTGTTTAACATTAGGAAAATATAATAATCACAATGATGCAAGTTTCTACTTAATCCAAGAGGTTTAGTTCTTCCCCTACCACCTCTCAACAGCATGTGCAGTTAAATGTGGGATGATCTTCACTGCAAGTAATTTCAAATGTTCCTATGCCAGAATGTAATTATTTTTAAAAAGTTACATTAATCCTGAAGAAGAAGAAGTTCATGAAGTTTTTCTAAAAACCTTAGCTGAGAAAGAATCATTTGCTAAATAACTTAGTGTAGCGAAAGGTCAAGGAGAATGGCTTCAAACTGAAAGAGGGTAAGTTTAGGTTAGGTATTATGAAGAAATTCTTCTCTGTGAGGGTGGGGGGACCCTGGCACAGGTTGCCTAGAGAAGCTGTGGGTGCTCCATCCTTGGAAGTGTTCAAGGCCAGGCTGGACAGGGCTTGGAGCAAGCTGGGATAGTGGAAGGCCCCCCTGCCCCTGGCAGGGGGTGAAACATGATGGTCTTTGAGATCCCTTGCAACTCAAACTATTCTGTGATTCTGCAAAAATAAAACATGTGTCCTTAATGTGAGTTTTTCTATTTTATAATCACTACAGCAAGAGGATGAAGTGGAGGAGCTGGGTGGTCACAGTTTGATCTGTGGATGTTGGCAAGTTCTGCTAAATAAGTGGATTCGTTGTACACCTTGCCCCATGAAAAAAAGGATTTGAAAACTGAATTCCAAACAAGTCAAATCTTGTTCATATTTTCAGGCAGAACAGTCTTCAAATTAGGAAGCCAGTCTCATATTAAACAATTTGGCTTAGAGATATACATATATATACAAATCTAAGTTAATTTAAACACACTAAATAGTATCCAGATGTTTTACTTGCTACTTTTATTAAGAATAATTTTAACAGTAGAAGCTTTTTCTTTTCCCTTTTCTCCCAGAAAACTTCCTTTTTTCATCTCTCCATTGATAAAAAACAGCATTATAGCATTAGAGAAAGCACTGCTGCCACCTCAAATAAATACGAGCCCATGAAAAAATTGTTCATCTCATTAGAGTGACTCTACCTAGGTAAGGTGCCAGTACCAAAGGCAACTACATATTTAATTTTTTCTCCCTATGAACAACTGAGCAACTTTACCAAAGAAACAGATTTTAAGATTAGAATGCTATAATTCATTTCATCGGCATCCATAGCACCTAAAATGTCCTTGGCAGCTTTAGGGACAGGAAATAAGCTAGTGCAGAGCAGTGCTAGGTGTAAAAATAAGGCAGAGATCAGTCATCTTCCCTTCCATGTATATGATTCTTATAAAGGAACACAGAAACAAGGGTGCAGATTAACTGCTATGACCTATTTTTTATTAGTTTCATTTCTACAATAAAGAACTATACCCTCTGTAATTCATTCATTAGGGTTCTTTTGTAAGTTTTACTCTTTATTGAACACTTCTATACTAAAGCAGCAGAAGGACCTGAATCCATCATGTCACAGCTCTGAGAGTAGAAAATAAGTATCTAAAGCCTTCCCCCAATAAACCAGTATCAATTCTATCTGGATGAAAAACGTGAGGTGCTTAGAAGGCAAGTCTAACAAGGTAATGTGAGTATGGAAGAATTTTCACTTTTTCCATCTGATAGCTTCAATCATCACCCCTACCAGTCAAGACCTCCAACCCTTGCTCAGCCTGAGAACCCACCTCCTTCCTTCCAGTGTATTTAATAAAAACATACAGTGCATCTTTGTGAAGGAGACATAACACAACACAAGCCAGGGGACTGCCCCACATGTATGACAGTAACTTGTGACAGCTCTTCTTGCTACACAAAAGGAATAAAGGATGGAACTGCACATCTGTTGCAGGCGCTTGGCAGGTCCAACACGGAACAAGCTCACCCCACGGTGTCCCAAGTACAGCACTTTTATTTGTTGTTCTCTCCTCTCCAAGAGCTAGTGCAGCTCAGAATATGAAGGGACCCAACATGGGTCAGTCCAAAGGGAATGTTTTATCTTAAGAATACCAACCCATCCAGCCTTGCAGAATACGCAAGTGGGCAGCAAGCCTGGCAAGACCAATGCTAGTAACTGCTTACAGGCCTGCCTAGTCCCTAACATCTTAAGAACCTATCACAACAGTGGAACTAAACTAGGAGGAAGAAAGGATGTAAAGAATGCATTCCTAATGCTAACAGAGTACAAGCTAAAGAACACATTCTAAAAGCAAAGACTGATTTTAAACAGAAAGCGAAGAAGCAATAAAGCACTCGTAGGGTATTTCTCTGTTCCACAGCATTACAAGATTTTTCCCCACTGCCAACAAACCAGTACACTAATCCCTTGATTGTTGTATAGCAGGTGAAGACCATGAACAGAGAGGTGGAAAAGCAGCCTTTGCAGAGCAATTATCAATCCTCTCCTGACGGTCTGCAGCTTCAGCTCTGTTACCAACACTCCGTGCAGTCGACCTGCTCCACTGAACTTGGAGACACACACTGCAGGACCCACACCCAAGAGGGCAAGTAGCCTGTGTGTCACTTGACTCAGGAAAGAGCTCCTGATTGCAGTGATCCAACTCTGTTCCATGGTGAGCTGGGCCCAAGACATTATTCAAACCCCAGGTATTGAGGGACTGCTTTTGTCTCCAGAAAAGTCAGGCAAACCAACATCAAGCACTAAGGTTATATTACAGATTCATAGAATAGAATCAGAGAATTGCCTTGGTTGGCACAGACCTTAGAGATGATGATGATGATGATATTCCAAGCCCCCTGCAGAGACATCTTTCACTAGACCAGGTTGCTCCAAGCCCCATCCAGTCTGGCCTTGGACATTTCCAGGGATTGAGAATTCACTTCTTAGGACAACGTGTGTTAGGGCCTCACCATCCTCACAGCCAAGAATTTCTTCCTAATTTCTCATCTAAACCTACTCACTGTCAGTTTGAAGCCGTTCCCCTTTGACCTGTCCCTGTCACTATGGTTCCTGATAAAGAGCTCCTCCCTGACTTCCCTGTAGTCTGCTAAGAGGTCTCCACACAACCTCACATTACATATTCTCCTCCATATGCATAAGCATTCCCACATTACCCATCCAGAGGATCACATTACTAGAATTTGTCAGAGAAAGACACTTTGTAAATCTATTTCTTGCTGAAACCAAGATAGTCTAACAAGTCCTGGAGGGAAGCCACATCTTTTATTACTCAAAAAATAGTTTAATATTTAAAGTTTGTTGCTGTTTCCTCTTTTTCCCCACTGTGGAAACAAAACTGCTTTTCTATATAGGAATTATAAGATAAAGGGTTTCAAGTGATTTGATAAAGGAAGACCTGCATTTTTAAAGTGACATGAAAAAGGAAGAAGAAGCATTAGACTAATTCAAAGATTTAAAATTATGTTCATGCAATAATGGACATCCATTTCCCTTCAAAGTGAAGTGGAAATTTAGTTTGAGACTTTGCAAAGAAGCCACTAAGGAATTAGGCACTGGCTGGCATTCTACAGGGCTGAAACAAAAGGTAGGCAGGCAAATATTACATTGTGGTTAAAAAGTCAGCATAATTGTGATAGCAATTCACAGACACTAAAAAAAAACAAAAAAACCAAAAAGCCTGCTTTATACAATCAATTCTAAAATTTACAAATCAATTTCTAGACTAACAATACATTTCAGCTACCTTGTAGTCAGGCATCTGTTTACACATCAGAGTTCCACCAGAAAATGTATAAGCTCACCTTGTCTTGGTTTTCCTTATTCTTGTAACACAGATTTCCAATCAAACGAATGAGATGAGATTTGAAACCCACGGCTGGATGTGAAATTTCTTCCTGCCCTGTCATGGCATGTGTGGCAGTGAAAATATTTACAGCCTGTTTCCCAGCAAGGTGAGTTAATCTCAGGGTATCTAGATAAAACATTTTAATACATTACCATTAGAAAATTAGTCTCTCTTGGCACAGAGCTTTATTATTAATTATTGAGTTCAATGCTAAGCAACATAATTTCTGATATTCAAAATCATGTCAGAGAACTTTGAAAGTTTACCTCATTGTGTGATTGGGGCTAATATAACCATCCATGTAAGACCAGCCCAAGGTCAGCAGGCATTTTTGTGTAATTTTACACTCTTACATAGTTCACACATGAAGGCTGAAGGCAGCTGCTATTGATCTCTACCTAAAGAGTCAGAATTTGTAGGCTGTTGAGAATTCTGGCATCATAAATATATTGCTAAAACCAAGATTTTTGGAAAACTTCCTGAAGTTTGAATTTGTCACAGCAATACATACTAAACACAGAATCACTTTCCTCTCTTCTTTGGTCTGTTCTGGCACTTAAAAAATACACTTAATACACTGTCTTAAAAATACACTTTTACAATTTTCTTTTACAATTTTCTGAGGTATGGTAACATACCTCAGTCTCAAAGGGCTAAGATGCAAAAAAAGAGAAAATATATATATATATATATATATATATATAAAAGAGGTCATGGTATGTAACACCCCTCCTTCCTCCCTTGAGCATCTCTGGAACATCTTGACACATTTTCTTTGCATACAGTCCTTCCCTTCTCTTGCTGTTTCTTAGCTTCTTTAAAGCTGACCTTTAAAAGGCACTGGATTTGATAATAACATTCAAACTGCGCTTAAATTTCAAAACTTTGGGAAACAGAAGGGAACAGGCATGGAGGGAAAGTCCTTTTTCTAATTCTAGAAGAAACTCTTCTACGCATGCTGCCAGTGACAGAACATAGGAAGCAGCTGTCCCTTGCACCACTTTCCATAGGAAAGAACATTGCTGCTTCTTCAATTGAAGCTCTGTTGGGCAACACAGGCCAACAGAGAAAGTGGAGAAGCAGAAATTTTCCAGGAACAAATCAAATATTTGAAAATGCAGATTAACTCCATCTCCTATTTATTTATCTTACTCAAAGGTCAGAACTATAATTACCACCAGTTGGGAAAAACATGTTTTCATTCACAGAGCACCAACAGTTAAGGCTTGTGGATGTTCACTCACCTACAGCTGTTTCAAGCAAACCAGGGAATGCCTGCAGATGTTCCAACTGGCTGTTGTTTGAGGTCATTTCACAAAGAACATCGAGAAGACGAATTGTCACCAGTGCTTCCTGGAATGAAAACTGCATTTCTGAAATGGCTTATGAAGGCTAACACAAAAGCATAAACCCAGAAATGTAAATAGGAGACAGGAACTCTCAGCTCCTCAGGTTCTGTGCAGGCCTTTCAAACTGCCAAGAATAAATTTATATAAATTAGGGCAACTTTCTAAAATAACAATAACGTATTAGATTGCAATTTCTTTTCTACAGTTAGTGTTATATCTGCCTGAAAAATCATGGGGAAACCAAAACAGAGCCATAAGGGATAAAATTTTAACAAAAACACAGTAGCTTCCAAAAGCAGAAATACAGAAAATTACTAGCTGAGAAAATTATTTCTGTATAAATGTTTTCTTTGAGTTTATTCAGTCGGAGCGCTCCACTTTAAAGACACAAACACCGCCTGCAAGACACCAATTTGTTATCCGCAGGAATTCTGTAAAGTTCTGTGGTCAAACAAACTCTGGCTGTGAGAATTTACATTATTCTTGGGTAAATAGGATTGTGATCAGAGATGCAGCATTTTGGTTAGGTATGAGACACAATTTCATTTGCATATTACTTATTCAGCCACAGAACTATTTTTTCACATGGAATATGTTGATCCTGCTTATAATGACAATCCAGCACTTACAGAAAATACCTTAAGAGCACATGACAGAATTTGGAACACCACATATTGCTCAAGAGCCAGGCTGTGACTGCAAGATGATCCCACTCCAGGTGTGTTACATAAACTGCAAGTAGCCATGAAAAGGCTGAGACATTGGTCACAGTAATTATTCCTGCCTTGTCTGGTCCAGGAAAAAAAAAAGGATTTACTTACCGACAGTATAATATTTTGGATCCATATAATCAACACAATGTTATTCAAATCATCAACAATAGTGTTCAGTAATTAAGCAGTAAAATTATATTCATTCAATGGTCCTTGAAAACACCGAATTGCTATAGGGTCCAGGTACTAAAGCTGTATTTTCATTTTTTGACCCATACAGGTGTAGGAAAATGCAAGTCTTGCCCTAAAGTATTCAATAAACTGCTTTCATCAGCACAAATACATTGGCCATTATCCTGTTACAAAGTAATAATACCCCAACTGTATTTCAGAGACAGTAACCAGCTTTTTACAATTTTTAAGAGGACTAGATTACTTAAAATACAAAAGAACCCCCAAATTTTTTTCAATGTACATTTGAAACTTGCTAAGTTCAAAAAATTGTTTCTTCCCTTCTGCTGACTTTCCAAATCGGTTTTTTTTTTTTGCCCTCCACCTGTACAAAAGAAAGGCAGTAAAGGAAAATACTTCCTTTTGAGGTTTCAAAACCCAAAATAGTTTGAACTCTGACAGACATGGTGATATGGATATAATCTGAAAAGTAAATAAGGAAATAACTGAAGACTTTTAAAATAAGCACATTTAGAGCGAGATGCAGAAAAGATGTTCCTTATAAAGAGATGAACTAAGTCCAGGGAAGGGTTTTATTTTGCAAGTATGGTTGAAAGTTAGTGCATGCTCAAGTCAGGCTTCAAATGGAAAAGCTATTTTAAACATTGGTTTAAGCACTGCAAAAGCATATGATTAGCTTCTCATGGGTTTAAGATGCAAGCTACAAGACCTGATGTTCCTTAAGAAAACAAAGCAGTGTCTACATATAACAAATTAAACAGTGGATGGGACACCCAGACAACATTCTGGGAGTCAGGCCAGTCCAAGGACTGTTCCCAAAAGTTTTCAAACGTGGCCTCAGAATTCTGGAGTCTAAGGCAGCTTACTACTACAGACATGGCCTGAGCAGGGCACTTGGCTTGTGGGCCACAGAAAAGGCCAGGCAAAGCCAAGCTGAGTATCACAGATGCTGCCTAAAGCCTTTTTAATGACAGACTCTACATGCACAATTACATTTTTTTGCAGTTAAATACAACTGCTACACAAAATCTAAAAATACTTATACAAATGATGAGAAATTGGTGCAATTCTTTATAATTTCTTGTAAGAAAAGAAACAATTTTATGAATTTAGACTGGCATTTCTCTTTTCCCATGGCAAGCATAGGTTGTGAACAAATGTATACACAGATATGCATGCATACATATTGCCCTCTATTTATTCACTTATTAGTACTTATATTTTCTGTTCATTCAGTGAGCTCCATTTTCCCATCAAAAAGCGATACTCAACTTATCATACATCTTGTTTATATGAGAGAAGAATAAGAACTCTGTGTCAAGAGGGTAAGTTATGCAGTAATAGTCACAATATTGCTGTCCTAGCACCTTCTGGTTGGACAGAGACCTCCTTCTGGTGGATACAAACAAATAGGTTTTTTTTCCATGAACTGAAACCACAGAAAGTGGTTTGGAATGAAACCACAAAGGATAAAAAACATATAAGGAAGGCAGGGGAAAAAAAGTAAAGAGGGAATTGTCTCAATGTATGTCCTCTCACTGCCAAGTTAGTACCTTTTCCAGAAGTAGTCAATTAAGTTATCACATAACTTAGACTAAACAGTTAGGGCAGTGAGGGAGACTGTGTTTCTTGGACAGATAAGAAGAGATTGTGTGCTTGTTGGTTTGTGTTTTGGTTTTTTTAACACATGCAACTACCACCTCCCCACAAAGTGATTTATGGTATTTTTTCACAACACATCTCAACCTACTTTTAAAATTCCTGTGCCTATTCAAACAAAAAAACCCAAGCAAGTAAAACACTTTTTAATATTATCATATAAAAGCACTTAAGATAAATGTTTTTTTTACTTTGATAATAAATTATTTATGACACTTCTTCTCTAGAGTTTCCAGAAGTGAAACTATTGCACAGTAGTTTTGTATTAACAATAAAATTATTCTGATCACACAAGTATTACTGCTTCCCATCTATGAACAGAATAAGTATTTTCATTTTGGTTCATATTTGAATCATAGGATCATCATAGAATCACAACATACTCTGAGCTGAAAGGTAGCCACAAGGATCAAGTCCAGCTCTTAGGTGAATGGCCCACGTGGGGATCAAACTCACAACCTTGGTGTTACCAGCACCATGCTCTGACCAACTGAGCTCATCTCAGGTCATGGTCTGAGTTGGAAGAGACCTTAAAGCCCATCCTGTCCCACCCCCTGCCTTGGGCAGGGACACCTTCCACTATCCCAGGTTGCTCCAAGCCCCATCCAACCTGGCCTTGGACACTTGCAGGGATGGGGCAGCCACAGCTTCTCTGGGCACCTGTGCAAGGGCCTCACCACCCTCACAGGGGTGGATTTATTCCTAACATCTCATCTATCTTTACTCTCTGTCAGTGTGACGCCATTCCCCCTTTTCTGTCACTACACACCCTTCTAAATTTGAAGGAATTACAATTCACAACTCAAATAAATTATAGAAGTGATCCTTAGTAAGACAATAAAATACCCAAATATTTGACAACTTAAACATCTTTTAGATTTTGAAATATTTAACAATGGGGCTTATTTCAAAGTACCATATCCTTTGCCATCCTCAAATTAAAAGTGAAAGTTGGCTGCTGTCCTACAGACTCTACTGTGGGCTCTGCCACCTTTTTCCCAACAGAAACTGGAAAAGATATTGTTATGTATGCCCCCCCAGGGCATCAGTGGCAATGAGGATTTATCACCTCAAATTCTAGTACTTAAATGGTTATCAGTCATACCTCATCTTCCACGTCTGCTGCAGCAGTTAACTTGAGCACAGCTCCACACTTCTCTTGGAAACAATCTGCAAGGAAGTCAGCATGTCTGACAAACACATTCATTTCTTCACTGGTAACTGAGTTCTTGTCACTTACTTTCACCATCATCAGTTCTAACAGAGTAATTCTGGAGACAGAAAACAATTTGTTACTCAGATTCACTGAGCCACATAGAATTATCAGTAGAATAAGCAGTAGTTAAAAATGATGAAAATAATTATTACACTAGTAACAGAGAGGATGTTTAAAAATTAACAAACCTCATGAATGGCAATCAGTTTCTGTCTGCTGAGTTTTTTTCTGTACAGAATTAATTTAATTCATAATTCAATTAATACAATCTGGCTGGAAAGTCAGTATTTTTCTCAAGTCTATTTCAATTTATAATTTCTTACATCCTAACAAAATATTACTGAGATTGCATATTCCCAATATCTAAAATTTCCAGCAAACCAGCTCTTAAAAGCTGTTAAGCATAGTAAAATAAGGAGAGACTAGTTGACAGATTCTGTTTGAAAAATACACGTTTTGACAGCCCTTGCCTTGCCCACAGTCCTTCAGTAACTCTCCTCCACAAGCCCAAACCAATTCTCAGCCCAAACAGAGAAAATAAAAATTGATATGCACACTCTGTTCTTTATAGTCATTTTATAATTGTTACTAGATGGACTAAGCAAATCCAAGTTCAATATATTAAGCTGGCAAGTAACTAGATACATAATGAAGCTGCTCTATGAAATCTACTTGAGATGGTTTTTTAACAGCTTTAATGTAATTTTATTTCCAATGTCCTTTCATGTTGCCAGGGCAAACTGGAAGCATTTTGTGGAAGTAGGACTTGGACACGGCAGAGGCCCTCCTACAGGTCCCTGCCCCAGTCCAGCGTACAGGGACTGGTGAAGCTGTCATTCTCTCAAACTGAAAGAACACTCTTATTGAATGAATTCAAAAGCCAGTTCAGGCTTTTCTTTCAGTGAAATCTTTGACATTCAGATGGAAAGACTGACATTTAAACATGTGGAATAGTTCAAATGCTTTTTCTTTTAAATTTACCAAGCAGGTTGTTAGAAGAAGAAGAGAAATGTCTTCTTCTGTGGAAAAAGCTTGGTCACTGCTTTATTGACCTCCAAGAACCCACCTCTATTAATCACAAAACAGCTACTTAGTCCTTGCTAGTACATTAATACATGAATACAGCTGCATTAAACTATTATCTGAAGGAGAACAGAAAGCTTTTCCAGCATGGCAGCACAGAAGTGCTGTCGGCAGATTTGACAAAGGGTCAAATGCTGCTGCACCCTGGGGTCCCTCCCGTGGGAACTTCTCCAACCTGAGTCCATCTCACAGGCAACAGATCCCTGCAAACTGCTGCAGTGTAGAGCCCCTCCTGTGGGTGAAAGTCCCCTTCCAACTGCTGCAGTGTGAGTCCATCCCACAGGCAGCATTCCCATCAAACTGCTGCAGTGTGGGTCACCCTGCCATGGGTACAGTCTTTCAGGGACACCTGCTCCAGTGTGGGCTCCTCCTTCCACAGTCTCCTCTCAGGCATCCCCCTGCTCTGGCACGGGTCTCCACAGGCTGCAGGTGGATTTCTGCATCCCCCATGGATCTCCATGGGCTGCAGGGCACAGCTGCCTCACCATGGTCTGCACCACGGGCTGCAGAGGAATGCCAGCTCCAGTGCCTGGAACATCTCCTCCCCCTCCTTCTTCACTGACCTTGGTGTCTGCAGAGTTGTTCCTCTCACATATTCTCACCCTGCTCTTCTCTGGCTGCAATTACAATTGTGCAAACTTTTTTTCTTTTTTCTGAAATACGTTATCCCAGAGGTGTTACCACCATTTCTAGCTGTCCCAGCCTTGTCCTGAAGCACATCAGTCTTTGGAGCTGCCAGGGATTGGCTTTGCCAGACACGGTGGAAACTTCCAGCAGCTTCTCACAGAAGCCACCCCTGTAGCCCCCCTGCTACCAAAAACCAGGCCAGGCAAACCCAAAACAAACACTATCTTCTGCTAGACAGGATTATAGTCAGTGCTTCTTGCACCAATAACCCAAATAATAAATGTTTAAAACTGATAAGCAATCTTTTTGTAAATAAGCTGGAGAGTCACCACACTTCCATAAACCCCATTACATAAATGGTTGCCAATAGGGAATATTTTTTGCACTACTTGCAAAATCCCTTGCAGTACGAATGGATGCCTTTTTCAACTGCAGTCCTTCGTTAAAACACCACCTGAATGTAATGCCTTTTCAAGTTTTCTGGTCTCTTTAGGCATTCAAGTCGAACTATTTTCCTGAGTTTTCTTCCAGGCACAGTCATTCAGGACATGCCCATCCTTCCCTGAATTTCAAGTAAGTTTTTTTTCAAGTTTCAAGTAAGTTTTATTCAGCCAATAGTTTCTTGAGAGCAAAGTGCTTTGTTCTGGTGCAAGTTCCCTTACATTCCTTTTTTCTATTGTTTCTCTCAGTTTTCTTTCAAGACTCACCCTAATTTCTCCAAGTTAGTTCTCCCAGACAATGCAATTTGCCCATTTTTTTAAAATGATCTCACAACTGTTCAATCATTCAAATGGCAGCATTTCTTCCTACTTGTTTGCCTGCAGCTAAATACAACAAATACGACAACTGCTAGTACCAGTGGAATTTTTGTAACACTCAGTTCAGTATCTCAACTCTAATTCTGTGTATTATATTTACAATTATACTTTTGTTTAGAAATAATCATGCTATGTCATCTTCCTTTTCTTTATGCACCACTGAGGAAGATCTTTTGCAAATCTCTTGGAGTTTTTTTTCCCCAGCCAAATTAAAACCAGTTCTTTCTGAAGCTGACTAAATTGGCATAAACTTAGAACAGCCAGGATAAGGTATTTGCAGTCATCAGTAAAACAAACTTCTGTCTCCTATAGCTTGAAAATAAACCACAGAATTCAAATGCAATTTAAATCTGGAAGCTCATTACTACACAATAAATTACTACACAATAAATGCCTCACTAAGTCTAAAACTAGCAGTGTAAAATTATATTTTCTTAGCATCAAACAATGTTTGCATCAAATGTGTTTTGTTTATAATCTCTTAGCAAGGGCCAGACACTTGGGACATTCTTCCTCTGTGACTTAGGCTTCTTCTTCCTGAAACACTTCCCTGACAGCAATGGTTCCATGAGACAAATTAGGCCCTCCCTCAAGACTTTCATATCCTTCTTCTTCAGATGATACTTGCAAGCATCATATTCAATGAAAACTAGTAAATTTGTGAGTAACTGTAGTTCAGTGCTACCTTCAGCTACTCTATGTCCGTGAGCATTGCCAGGAACAAAACCATCCCAAGCACTAACAATGGCAGCCTTGTAGCTGAGCTTTAGCAAGAAGTGGTGCTGCTTACTTGAGTGCCCATTTCCTGGCAGGCAATTCCATCAGCAGCTGCATCCTTCACTCAGGACACTTCACCTGACAACACTAAAATCAAACCTAGAGATGAGCATCTTAAAAACACCTGAAGCTATTCAGCTGCATGTTTTCATGCTGTTAATAAAAGCAAAACCCCTTCTTAGGAAGGACAACAGATGTGCTCACTTTTGAAGATTTTATAATGTAATTAAGACAAGCAAGGCATGAACTTACAGTGTCCATGCTCAAGGCTAACTTGGATGAATGCAAACCAGGCTTTTTCTAAATAGTTCTGCTACATATCTGCACACACATGCAGGAAAATCTCAAATCTAGCAAAGAATCCAAGAATCCACACTCTTTTAGCTCAATGGCCATACCTTCTACAATAACCCCTTCCAGAGAACCAGTAAGCATTGTCACAACACAATGCACTTCTCCAGCCCAGAATACTATTAAAAACCTGATTGCATTAACACAGGATTTATTTCAGGCCATTTGGACACTCAGATACACAACACATTAAATTTGTTAGGAAATGAAAGAGAAAGTTGTCCAGAAGTCAGGAATTTTATTTTAATTGAAAATTCAAATTGCTGATCCAGTTGTACAAGAACTGCTTTGAGGCAGGCACTATGGCCATGGTAACACAAATGCACTGGATTTCAACTGCAGGAAATACTTTGAATAGTGCAAATACTGTGAATAGTGCAAATAACTGCAGTTATGTAGCCACATATGCTCTGGGTACCCCAGGAAACTGCCAGCTTTGGGAGTCACCACTAATGGGCAAACTTCCTCAGCACAGCTAATTTCATTTCAGCAAATACATTTAAACTACCTGTATTTAATGTGCATGACAGAGGATACTGTAACTGAGGGCTACCATACATTCACGAGTTCCAGCTGCCTTCCCCAGCCACCTCAATACCACAGCTGTCCATTCCTCATTTATAAGACTTGGTCAGCCTCACTGGACACCCAACATTACAATGCACGTGGTGAAGACTCCTCATCTCATTCTGAAAAAATGAATTCCCTATGCTTGGGGTTTATGGCTATTTTTTTCTCCAGTTCATGAGAGTCAAAATGTTTTTATCTGAATTAGATTTGTCTCTTCATGTACCTCAAAAGAATGCATTCTTAAATACACTAACACTACCTAGGAAGATGCCAAGGCAGGGTATTCGTCTATAGCTCAGATGCAAAATGATTATTTCACAGCACTTCCATATGTTTGTCAGTAAATTAACCAGTGTCCAATTCATAACACACTGTATTGTGATTATGTCTTTGAAAAACTTAATGGAGTTGACTGGCAGAATTCTTGGGATTGGTAATAAATTCAGCATTTACTCTCTAACTAGTGATCCTACCTGTGATCATCTATGTCATGCCTACACCAAAAGCCTTTGAGGTGAGGAATCTGATGAGCATCTGTAGTATGCTGAAACCTTTCCAGAAACTGGCTACACCTCCTGCTTTAAGTACAATTGAACACCCTAACCCAGCCCTGGCTATCCTCAAAGGCATTATGAAAACGTGCAAACTGCCATTCATTACATTCCCCAAAATAACTCAATCTAGCCCATTCACTTAAAACATTTATACAGCACCTACTTCCCAGTACATTAAGCTCAGATTTGTTCCCACTTGGTCATCCTGAATTATGGAGGAAAACAGTATTTCCCTCCTTACCATTCCCATCCCTATACAATAATGATATTTTATTTACAGTTCAAACCTATTGCATATTCTTTCTTTCGCTGATATCCTTGGTCTGATATCCAGTTTTCTTATAATCTCCAATTAGTGCCTGAACCCTCACCTGTGGTAATGCTGAAAACAAGACAAAAATGAAAAAAAATGCAAAGGCACTGCTTTATTTAGTGTTCTTTCACTTGCAAAAGCTAGAGAAGAACTTGCAGCTTCCCTGGGTGGATGTGGAACAATGAATGTAGGCACATTAAACACATAAATGAGACCACAAAATCTTCAAGCAGTTGGAGGAGCTGTAGAATTCTAGCAGTGTTTCCCAAATTTGATTGTCTTAACAAAATACCTTTTTTAATCTTCCTCAATTCTCTATTAAAGCAATGAACATTTTTCCATTATAGCAGTGGCCATTTCCCACCAATTCAGCACACATTTACTTAAACACTTGAAGCAAAACTATCAAAGCTTCAAAGGTGAAGGTCTGTTGAAGCTTTTCAACAGTGGAAATATTAAAGATTACTTAATCACAGGCATCTGCTCATCGATGTTTTGTAGGTTTTGCTAACCAGTATGAGATGCACTTCCATCTTTCTTGAAGGCTTCCTCTTAATTTCTTGACATAACAACAGAAGTATGAAGAGCTGAGGACATTTCTAATCGAGCTGTAAAACTCTGCAGGGTGTGGTGCTCTTATGAAATCAAGAGCCAGGCATGAAATCTTGTCCTTTTTTGTGTGTGAAGTATTTCTTTACCAAGTAATGGCGCCAACCTGGATTCTGCAACCCTACATAAATCACTGCCAGTTGTGGCTAAGCTGTAATGTTAACCAACCAATTTAAAACCATTACTGACATAGAAACATGTATTTAGAGATTTTGTGCCAACTATGAAACCACACAGTTTTTCAATCATGTGAACAGGATACTCTATATGGAATGCTAAATACTATAAGCCACATTGGTTTTGGGGTTACCTTTCTTGATTGCTCAGTTTGGCATAGAGGGCTTTTACCAGCTCTGGACATTTCAGCAAATGTTCTGTAACAATCAGGAACCTAAAGGAAAAGAAAAAGAAAGTCTTACTGGTGCTGTAAAAGCAGTACCCATATTTATTCCAAATGCTGCTGGCAAGTTTTACTTGTAGATGAATGTGTGTTGTGCTTTTGGTCCTATTTGCCAATAGATACAAATTGGCACAAAATAATTCCATGTTTTCCAGTAGTTTTTTTCCCTAACATGGTGATGACCATTCCTCATCAGTTCAGCACACTTTTACTCACATGTTTGAAGGAAAACTGGCTGGAGTCTTAAGCCAGTTACACCACAATTCTAACAATGAAGCACTTATCCAATGATTGATGCCTCCAAACAAAAAGCCGAAGTTCAATATTACTGAAAATTATTATTCTATTCATCACAACACTGTCTGTAAGCCCAAACAGTCAAAACAGTGCCCAAATAATATATGGATTTTTCTTTAAAAAATGTGATTTGACAAAGCATCAAAGCAAATGGGAATTTCTTTGTCAGATGCAAGACAGCAAAGTACATTTCTTAACTTCACAAACATACCCTCCTTGTGTAGTAGAAACCTAAGCTGAGAACCAATCCTAAGTCCTTGCTTTACAAGGCAGGTAGATATAGAATCGCAGAGCCTCACATTCTGAAAGGGACTCACAAAGATCATCGAGTTCCTGGCCCTGCACAAGACAACCCCAACTTTAACACAAGGATCTTTTCAGTCAAAATACAGTGAAGCATATTCTGTAATAAATGTTCAAGCTTTATTCTTCCTTTCCTTTTTGCCTTCCCTTTCTCACACCATATTTGAGGTTTCTGTCTGGAATACAAAAAGAACAACAAATGACCAAAAGTTGACAAACTGGCCACTGGTTCCCTCTTTCTCTTCACCAAAATGTTGCAAGGGATCTATGATACCAACCTGCCTCAAAAGAGTCTCTTTTAAAAATAATCTATCCAAAACTGGCAAATGGCTCATTCGTTCTTCTTAATACTGTCTCTGGAAAATATGTTCAGCCTTGGCCTTGTGTTAATTAATGCCAGTATTTACACTGTTTGCTTTCCCAATCACTATCCACAGCAGTCCATAGCAGGTGACAGTCATTTAATTTCAACCCAGACTCATACTACTAGCATTATGGGAAAAGAAACAAAGGAAGTAAAAGTACTTAGCTCTTCAAATCACATCCCCAGGAGCACTAGCAGTGATATTTATGCTGCATAGGTACACACAAACTAGACGATACATTTTTAAAGAAGCATGTCTAGGCTACAATAATTGCAAGTTAAATCTGAGAGTATCCTCTGAGCTGATGAAGCTACAGAGAAAGAACTGCTAAAATAATATTAAAACCATACTGTCTCCACCTCTTCCTTAGTTTTCCCTCTGCTGACAGCCTTTATTTTGCATAGCCATAACCTATTACACAGCTAATAAGAAGATCACAATGAAGGCTTCCAGCTGCAACAAAGTATTTTTTGGACAAGTACTCAATGCCAGTTGGGCAAATCAGAGAATAAGAGGTCCAAAAGATTAATAGCTATTATATTTCTAATCATAACTCTGGACTTAGCCAGCATCTGGTTCAGTTACTGAAAACTTGACATTTTTAAGAAGGGGGGGGTGAAGAACTATTTTCTACTGCACTTCTTTTTACTGATATTTGCACATTCATTCATGAAAAAAATATGCAGAGGTGTAAGGAATCACCAACTTAAAATTGGCATGCTGAGAAGTGTAGCACTGATCGAAGAGGAATTTCAAAAAACGCAAAGACTCGCCCAAAGTCTGCAGCACAAACGCATCCAACTGAGCAGTGCAGACTCAGCTGCAGCACCCAAGTCAAGGGCAGCTCTTCCACTGTTCCTCAACTAACAACACACAGCCATCCCCAGTTAAACCTTCAGAATCGTCACAACCAGCTTCATTTTCCATGGATTTAAGTAGAACCACAAACTATTGTGTGGAGCTGGAGAAGAAAATAGCACAGATCAGTGCTGTGCAGAACACAAAACTTGGCCTAAGAATGTACAAATTTCAGCTGACAATGCAGTAGAGTAAAAAGTACATTTGAAGAAACAGCCTGAAGCCTGGTTTTTCCATTTTGCAATTGGGGTTATTTAATTTAAAGCTTAATTTTCATGTTAAACATTACGTTAAGGAAATCTTGACGATTTGTCTGGTAATTAAAACACGCTCAATAATTACCACAGAAAAAGATCTGCTGCTACTAGGTTCATATGCCTGATCACTACTGCAAAGTGGAAGGCCATAGTTCAGCTGCTACTTGGATCTGTGCTCCTGTATTTCCTCACACACATTCTGCACATTCTGTGGACTAGACCTCTACTGCTTGAGAAGCTTGGAGTATTTTAGACTAAAATTTCTAATTCTTACCTTCTGGTTTCATGATGTGACACAACACTTCAGAAAACAAAAAGCTGTGGCTGCCCCATCCCTAGAAGTGTCCAAGGCCAGGCTGAACAGGGCTTGGAGCAACCTGGGATATTGGAAGGTGTCCCTTCCAGATGTGGAAGGAGATTGGCTTTAAGGTCCATTCCAACCCAAACTAGTCTGTGATTCTACAAATTATCTGCTTCTGTATTTAAGTGTCCCTTTCACCTTATCTGCTTTCTGCACTACTGTATCATGAAGAACAGAGCACGAGCATCACCGAGAGAAAACAGAAGAATTAAGAGTGGAGTAAAGCACTTCCAACTCCTTCACCATGCCCAGAAATTTTGGAGGTAGCTAAACAAGGATGCAGCAAATTCAATATACTATCTTTAGTCCTCTCAGCTCTCCTGTTTCTCATTTGTGGCACAGGAAAAGAAGAGGAAAAGTAACATCATCCACAATTCTGAAATATAAAAAGATATTCAGTTTTGGGTTACTGACTGAACATGGCATTTCAAATGCACACAAAGGCTTTGGTAGGAGACTTAAACTCTCTTTGGGGGCCAACAGCAGAACCACTGGAATAAACTGAAGACCACTGTAATTTACTGAAGGAAATGGTGAAAATTAAAGCTTTTATGCAAGCCTAACACAGTAACAAATGAACAGTGTTATATATGCCAACTTTCTCGACCCTTTAAAAACTGTTTGGCTAAAATCCAAAAAAAATCAAGTGCTTCCATAGTAGATAAATACAGGAGGAGATGTTCAAAGACTTTATAACAGCACAAGGGCTGTATTGTACCAAACTGAAGTTCAGAAGCAGCCAAGACAAAGTGCTATGAGCTACATTTGCACTCAGTATATTTCAGATAGCCACTAAGCTTGCTCCAATTAAGGCTGGGTGTAAGCAATCAACTTTATCATCAAATGTCATGCTCCATATTAAGTTGATTTTATCCCATTAGTAAATTTAGGGAAGAGTTTCCTCAGTCTCAGAAAAAGATGAAGACAATCCCACATATGTTTTCCAAGTACAAAGAACAAGACATGGCAATTCTCTACTTGATCAGCAACCTTCTTTTTCAATCTCAAAACCAAAGGCATTTTTCATCACCCTATAATAATGCCACTCTATCCAAAATATTTAGTAAGAACTAAATAGCTATCTTTTCACTGTAATTTAACAAACAAAAGTAATAAATCATCCACATTTTCAAGAAAAGTAAGAAAGAAAATTCAGCTACTTTCAGCCAACTTTCAAACTCTTATGAACCAGCCTTTTTAGATGCTAAAAAAGCAATATGCCTCCTGAGGAATTATTTGGAATCAGAACATATTTTAGAAGCACAAGTATATTTAATCCTTCCACAAAAATAGAACACCCTACCAAAATTATTTAAATAAACAATTACAAGTATAAAGCTATTTAATAACAAATGGAACATGTGCTGTCATAAAATTAACAGAAAAGAGGTCATTTATCCCATTCCCACACCAGCACTTCTCGCTCAGATGGAGAATAAAGAAACACATTCTCATATTTAAGGCTTGGTCCTAGTATCAAACATCACAATACTCCTCTCCTGTGCTGAACCAACACTACAGTGAACATCATTCTATCTTCCAAAGGCATTCCCACAATGAAAGCTTCCTCCCTACTGGCCATGATAGCCCCCACCAAGTAAACTCTGAGGTCTAGAAGACTAAATTCAAATTATGTGCAGTACTTCTCTGATTCAGAAGACACTCCCATTCAATTTGACAGCTACATGTGAAAGGCACTAAAGAGAGATTAAATCTAAATTATATGTAAAATTGAAATAATTTTTTTCTGAAGAGCTAGCAAGAAAAAAATGGAAGATGATTAGCAATGGCTAATAGCACTTCCTGCTCCCCCCCTCCACATTATACGAAAGAAGAAAGAGGTGACAAGATAATTAAATGTATGAAGCTGAGCTTTGAAAGATTGAGGAAATCTGTGCCAATTCACTGCTACTGCAAATAGAAAGTTAGAAGCTACTCAGATCTCTAAAATTAAGGAAACTTTTCCAAGTGTCAGTACTATTTAAAACCACAGCTGAACTTGGAACCTGCATCATAACTCCAACTTCCCTGGAATTAAAAAAAGAATGACTTTCTGGAGAGCTGAAGAAGGGGGTGGAGGACATCCTAAACTGTGTGACAGAAGAAAGTTGCCAGCCCAATGAAATTTCTTCACCACAAACACACACATGAATTAAGCAAAAGAGCAATACTGAAGAGTTCTATCCTCACCTTTAAATCTGTGCCCATAGGCAAGACTCCTTGCTACAGGAGTACCAGTTTCTGTCCACACATCTTTCCATAAGCCAGGACAAAAAACCCAAAAGCAAAAAACTGGGGAGGGGTAGCCCCACATCCTAATCTTTACAGTAATCATTTAGCTGTGGTTTCAAAAAGAGAGTGGATGTTCAGCAAAACTTATTTCAATGTTAAACAGCTGACCACACTCCTGATATCATTTTTCTGAAAGCCAAAAGACACATTATGTCTCTTATTTTAAAATGGAGCATTTTTATTCTTTGCTCTTTAGGAATCAAAAATACAACCTGTTTTTCCTGTCCATATTAGCTGAACTGCCCCATGCACACACTT